TTTCCCGTTTCCCTTCCCCTCCGTCATTAGCTTGTCTCCTTCCATTTCCATTTTCGTTAATGTAAACTCACTTTCCTATCACCTCCCCCCCTCCCCCTATCCACCTCACGGACACTATCTTGTCTCTTAATATCTCTGCCTTTTCTCTATCCTCTATGCCCTTCCCCCCCTCCCCTCCCTCTCCTCCCCCATCTAGAATTCCTACTCCCCTATCCTTCCCTCCCCCTTTTTCCCTTCCCCCCCATCTAGTGCACCCACTCCCCTCTCCTCCCCTCCCCCTCCTCCCTTCCTCTCCCCTTTCTCTCTTCCTCCCCCCCCATCCCCTCCCTTTCCTCCCCCATCTAGGATCCCTACTCCCCTCTCCTCCCCTCCCCCCCTTCTCCCTTCTCCCCCCCCATCTAGTGCACCTACTCCCCTCTCCTCCCCTCCCCCTCCTCCCTTCCTCTCCCCTTTCTCTCTTCCTCCCCCCCCATCTAGTGCACCCACTCCCCTCCCTCCTCCCCCCCTCCTGGCTCCTCCCTCCTATCAATTGCAATAACAATGTTGCATATATCTCTTTATCTCTTTTCTTGCTTAATTAATATATTCGCCTCTTGGATTAAACTGACATGCGAGTAGATACGCTATCTGATTCGTGTTTTGATTATGAATAAACTCAAGGACTCTGGACTAAATTTTTAAAAGTTTAATTTAAGAAAGTGAAGATTGAATCACACAAAGCAATTTTATTTTATTTATTTATCTATTTTTTGTCGTATGTTTCTTTTTCTCTATCTTTTTCCCGACTGTTTTATTTTTTTCTTTCATTTTTTTTCTTTCTTTCTTACCGTTTTATTCTCTCTTTCATTGTGCTTTCTTTCGTTCCTATTTTTCCTTTTTTCTTATTGTCTTATTCTTTTTTCTTTACTTTTTCATAGAACGGGAGATATGACAACAAAGGGAAAGCGTTTCCTATACTAGCTTTGCAATTACTGGGAAATAATCGAAAAAAAATGAAAATTATTATTCAACGTTATTTTTCAACATCATTTCTGAAATTATTGGTCATTATCATCATCATCCCTTTGCACTTCCCAATATTATGAATATTACTGATACAGAGATATTCGCATTGATTATCATAGTCACTATTTTACTGCAAGTGATAGGGTCGCTAATGATTTTATTATATTTATCACAATTATTGTTCATTCTAATGTTTTCATCATTGTATCTCCAATGCCTTTTGTCCTTATCGTCTTTTTATCGTAACTATCTTTATTTTCATAGATAATGGTAGAGATACTAGTGATAATAGAGAGTATATAGATGATATAGAACAGTGTAAATTCGTAATATTTTGTGTATGTGTGTGTGTGTGTGTGTGTGTGTGTGTGTGTGTGTGTGTGTGTGTGTGTGTGTGTGTGTGTGTGTGTGTGTGTGTGTTGTATGTATGTGTGTGTGTGTTTATGTGTTGTGTGTGTGAGTGTGTGTGTATGTTTGTGTGTGTATGTGTGTGTATGTGTGTGTGTGTGTGTGTGTGTGTGTGTGTGTGTGTGTGTGTGTGTGTGTGTGTGTGTGTGTGTGTTGTACGTATGTGTCTGTGTGTGTGTGTGTGTGTGTGTGTGTGTGTACGTGTGTGTGTGTATGTATGTGTGTGTGTGTGTGTGTATGTGTGTGTGTGTGTGTTTGTCCGCGTGCATACAAGCGCTGGTGCGTGCGTGTGAGTGTGTGCGTGTCATTCTTTGATATTAATATTGCCAGTTATCATTTTACATCATCAAAATGAAGTCAGAGGGAATGTGATTTCAAGCGTAACGTGATATTCAATGAACGGGTTACAAAACAGAACTGTGATATAGATGGATAGATAGTTCTTTTTTTAAATATTTTATTGGTATTGTATTACTTATTATCACAACAATCATCATATTCGTTATTATAATTATTGTGATAATCATAATGATAATGATGATAAAATTAATAATGATTATAATAATGACAAAAATGATGTTATTAATGATAATTATAATGATGATCAAATGATAAAAAGCAATAATAATAATAACGATAACATCAACAATAATATTGATAATTAGTATGACTAGCATAATTTCTAGTAGCAGTAGTATCATTCTCATTCTCATTATTATTACTATTATCATTATTATTATCAACTTTACTATTATCATTACTATCACCATAATCATCATTATTATTGCGATTAAAATTAGTACTATTGTTATCATCCTCATTATTACTAATACATTATCATTACTATCATAATTATCATTATTATTAGTAGTATTATTGTTAGTAGTAGTAGTAGTAGTAGTAGTAGTAGTATTAGTATTGTTATTATTATTATTTTCATTATTATTTTCATTATCAATATTATTATTATTATTATTATTATTATTATTAGTAGTAGTAGTAGTAGTAGTAGTAGTAGTAGTAGTAGTATAATTATTATTATTATTATTATTATTATTATTATTATTATTATTATTATTATTATCATTATGGTCATTGTTATCATTATTGTCATTATAATTACTAATATTAAGAGAAGCATTTTTGCTGTTAATATCACCATAATCGTTATCAACCATACTATGTCATTATTACTATCATTATTATGATTGATATCTTTACTGTATAGCCATTATTATCATCATTATTATAACCATTATTAGTAGTATCAATATTACTGTTATTGTTATTACTACAATTATTATTATCTTTATTGTTATTATTATTATTATTATTATTATTATTATTATTATTATTATTATTACTATTATTATCATTATTATTGTTATTATTATTATTATTATCATTATTATTATTATTATTATTATTAATATTATTATTAATACTATTATTATCATTATTATTATTATTATTATCATCATTATTATTGTTGTTGTTGTTGTTGTTATCACTAATATTATCAATTATTATTGTTATAATCACTATCATGATTATCATGATTATCATTAATATCATTAGCACTATTATTATCATCATTAATAATATCATTATTATCTCTATTATCATCATTCTTTTTGTCGCCGCCATTATAATTATCATTCTTGTAATATTAGTATTATCTTCCTTATTAGTGCATTATAATCACCATTATCATTATATCTATCATTATTGACATCATAACCATCATTATCTATGCTGCCATTGTAATTAGTTTTATCATTACCATTAAGTACATCATCATCATCATCATTATCACTATAGATATCTGAAATGCCACGTAATTATAGTGATATAATTGTGATGTGTCTCTAACAGCCAGTCTCTCTGTCTATTCATCTATTCATATTTATTCATATTTATCTATTCATATTCATGTTTATTGATAGTCTTATGTGAATCGATAGATAGATAGAGAGATAGATACACAGAAGATAGGGAACCTAGATATAAAATGAAAACACGATTATGCTTGTGATTTCCTTAATTATGAAAATATCGATACTGATAATGATGATATTCATGATAATTGATAGAAATGATAACAAGAGTTTGAATGGGAGTGTATTTAGAGTAATGATAAGACACAATAATAGAAATGATATTGACTGATAATAACAGTAATGGTAATGACAGTGATAACAATAATTATAAAATAAGAATCTTTGTCATCATTGCAACAACAAGAACAACAAAAAATAACGTAGTATGATAATTGTTATGATGATAATTACAATAAAATGTGGAATATCATAGCAAATATACTGGAGATAATTCTCACAGTGAAGACTAACAGTAATAGCTACGGTTACTGATACCATTATAGCACTGAGACCATAATAATTATCTATTGAATATCAGTTCAATATCTAAACAGAAAATTAATGATAATGAATAATGAAAAAAATATTTGCACATTTATTTTAGTCTACCATGAAAATATCCCGTTTTCTCTCTCATCGACTCTTAAAACCGCGAAATTTATCGACTAATTCTTCATATTTTAGCGGATTTGAACCTGGTTTGAATTTCCAATCGCTCATTCACACAACCTACATTACATATATTACGAAATGAAGTTTATTAAAAGGGAAGAAAATGAGAAAATTGGACCAAAATACACATTTGTCTTTTCGAGAAGGATCGAGAAGCTTCCCGTCGTCTGTCACGCAAACAAAAGAACATCGTGTAAATAAGATCGAATCTTTAGTACATCTATAGTCTGAGAGCGAAACACGCATAATCCACTAACCATATCAGATTGAATAACATCAAAATAATCCAGAAGTAAAAAAAAATCCGAAAAATTCAAATTCACACGTAATTATTCCATCCTAAGCCTCATATTCCAAGTAAAAAACAACACCACCCCTAACAGAATCGAATCGTCTCCACGCTCCGGGATCCCTTCTCCCTCACGTTGCTGTTTACATGAGTCACACCGGCGGCGGCGGCGACAGAAGGGAAACGTCTTAAAAAATTTTCTCCAGACTTTTTCTCTAAATAAATTAATAACAAAATGACGGCCGACTCTGTGCTTAGTATCCAGGGGAAGAGGTCCTCGGGCACTTCCGTCAGAACCGAGAATGGTAAGTATTGGAAGTCTAATTTCGATGAATATAACGAGTTTGTAAGATTGTTGGTTATATTCGTTTGTGTTGGAATTTTCAATTGATTTTTTTTTTAATGATATCAATATTATTTATTATTCTCTCTTGTTTATTCCGTGTTTTATCACTAGAATGTGCTCTTCGTTATTCATGTAAAGCTTGAAGAACACGAAGGATAAGAAAATGAGAGAGAACAAAGGAAGAATAGAAGGAGCACGAGGCACGTCCGCCCATGTCCGCCCACATGCACATGCTCGTTATTTTATTATTTTTAGCTCCATTTCGCTCGAGAGAGTCAGGAAAACCTCTTGATTTGGTGGAAGTTGAAGTTGAAACTCTGAGCCGTCGTTGGTGTTATTACGAGTAATTGATATAATATAGGGTAACCCGTATAATACTGACGCACTCGCTCGAGATTAAGTCCTTAATTCTCTCTATTTTTTTTTTCTTTTTCTTTTTTTTTGTGGGGGGGAGGTATTTGTTACCGTACACAGGTCCAAAAACCATGGTATCATGTGGACCCAAAATCCAAAGCTAACCAGTCTTACCTTCCTTATATTCCATAGACGGGGGCAAACCCCCCTGATAACCCCCCCCCCCCTTTATTAGATCATTGTGCCTACTTAAAAAAACCCCGAGATTAAGGACTCTAGGTGTGTGGGGGTGTTATGGCTATTTTCGCCATTTCCCGTTAAATATGAAGCCACTGCAGATGTAACTATTTTGCTTCTTTAGTAATTATGCTCTATAAGATGGCAGTGTCCATTTTCCTCTATCTGTGTCACTCTCGGTAACATTAATTTATTTTATTATTATTAACAAATTAAGCTTCCATTACTGTGCATGCCTTTCGGGCACTGGCCAAGGGGAGGGTTGATGGGGGGGGGGGCTTCATTCTCTAACTCCCTCGGAAACCTTGTTTGGCTAATTCTTTACAGTACGGATGTGCTTGCCAGGGATTAAGTCCTCAAGTCCACATCACATAATATATCTAGCTATCCAAATTACCATGATTGGGCATGCCCTTTGAGCACTGCCCAAGGTGAGGGTTGGCAGGGGCTCAACCCCTAAAACCCTTCTGGGAAACCATGTCTTCACTTTGGTATGCATGGTAAGTGTGTTAAAACTCAGGAGCACAGAGTGGACTTAGGCTCCAGGTGGCACTTTGTGTGATCTATTTCCTTTTTTGGCATTACTGTTCATGTCTACATTTTGTTTCATGTATGATCCACTACAAATTTTAGTCATCTACAGGAATAGAAACTTTAATTTGCCCTACCTTAGTGCATCCATACCAAGCAAATCTTGTGTGGATATTCTGATTTATGACTTTCATTAATAAGGTTGATGTGACTTGAAAAAAATCTAGGGTAATTCCTTACAGTATAGATGCACTTGCCAGAAACTTACGTTGTCAACCCCATGTAACAATTAATTGAATTATCCAATTTTTTGGTTTTGCACAGCCATCCAACCCTGCAAGCATTATTCCTTGTTTCAATTATTCATGTCATAATATGCATGATCTATAGTCTTCCATTGCAAATGACACAAGTTAAAGGTATTGGTAGTTGCTATATCTCTATTACTGCAGCCATTCCTGGGAACCAAAAACCTTCCTAACCCAGTGCCTTTTACTTATTTGGGGAACCACCACCTGATGGCAGTGGACTTACTCTTTGCACATTTGTTGCTTTCCATTTTCTGATGTTATACTTAGCCTGTGCAGATTATTTCATGTATGTATCACCAAGTAAATTTTTCCTTCCCTTGGGATAGTGTCATTAGATTTTCTTTTAACCCTGTGCCAATGAGTATCAAAACTCTCTGATCATAAATTCTGGTGATTTCTGGCAACATCCAGACACTGTGCGAGGGAGTTCGCTCATTTTCTTCCCAAATGCCATGCCCCTACCCATCCAACAGGCTTGAGGAACCTGTCAGGAGTTGGGGTTTTTGGGTGAAGGAGATACAGATTGTAAAATATGTTACGGCCATAATAAGCTTGTGCAAATTAAAGATGATGTTCTTGTAGAGTTGTCAGTACAAGAAATAATCTGCAGACATAAACGGTAATGCCACAGAAATAGGGAGCAGATAGCATAAAGCACTGATTACATCTGAGTCCATTCAGTGCTCCTGAGTTTCAGCTCAGCTCAGCTGTGTAAGTCAGCTGAGAAGAGCGTAGTACATAATGATAAAGCATTAATAGGAAGTGTACAGTGGATTGAGTATATTTAACCCAATGGCGCCGGGTGTACAAAAGAAAAAAAAAAACTCTACCCTTAAACAAACAAAGGCGGCGCGCTGACTTTGAGCGCGTGAGTGAGCCCGAATCACTGGCTTGCCGCGTTTTGGCGCGCCGCTGGCTCGTTTGGCTGCACGCCAGCTTTCGAGCTCTTTGTTTACACGCCGATCGGCGTCACCCGGCACCAAGGGGTTAAACTTGTATTGCATACCATTCTAACCAAAACATACATGAATATCATTGGTGAATAGGAAAACAAAGTTGTGTATTAATGAAGTAAATTTTATTCACTGAAATGGTTGTTGTGACTGTAAGTTTTTGTCCATATTGGCTATTCTCCTCTACACAAAAAAAAAATTATATGTTAAATGACCCTTGCAGAATTAGGGCTTTCCACCTTCATATTTTTCCTTTTTATTTGCAGTCATCGCCGCCAGTTCTGTGGCCAACATTGTCAAGAGCTCCCTGGGGCCAGTGGGGCTTGACAAAATGATTGTTGATGATGTTGGAGTAAGTATGCAGTTGTTTGTGTCTTATTAAACATTTTTATGCACTGGTATTTGTCTTGAGTATCAAGGTTTTTTCCTTTCGATAAAAAAAGTATTTAAATAAAAAAATGAAATGATAATCATGATAATATTAAGCTTCTATAGGGACCCTTTTATTTAGATATTGTAGGCCTTCAATTGATGTCCTTACAGCTAAGACGTTATCTGTATAGTTAGTTGTGCATTATTTGCAATACTTGCTGGCAGTACATAATTTCAGTATAATATCTCATTTCCTTCATGTCTCTCTCTCTCCCACCAGGATGTCACAGTGACCAATGATGGTGCCACAATCCTCAAACTGCTGGAAGTTGAGCATCCAGCTGCCCGTGTCCTGGTCGAGTTGGCTCAGCTGCAGGATGAGGAGGTGAGTCAATTTTATTTATTTGTTTATATTATGATTTTATCTTTATTTTTCCTCCCTCTTGTGGTCTTTTCTTGCTTTCATTTCATCTGAATAATAAAGGTAGTAGCTGATTTTAACCCTTTATTAACTCATTATTTCATAATAGTATTTTGAACTGCATATTCACATTCATTGTGTTTGTCATAAAGGATTAGCTGATTTTAACCGCACTTTATTCAGTATCAGACTGATAAACATTTTCATCTTATATACAAGTGAAGTACAATAGGCCAAAAAACAGATAGGTAATTGCATTTTCTGAACCATTAAATTCTTTAGAATAAATTAGCAAAGTGATGCTTATATTTTACTTCTTCAGGGGTCATATTTAAGTGTAAAATATTAGTAATCTAGGTAATGAAAGAGCACTAACCACTTCAAGTCAACTGTATGAGAGTTAGACAATATTGGACAGTTATGGCGCCTAAGCTAACCAGGTTCAAGGCACTGTCCAACACCATTGAAGCTCCCAAATCAGTGAATTTGGAGCTTCTTGATTTTATCCATAGTAACTGGGAGTAATTTTTGTAACCCAGTTTTTACCTCTTCATTTATTTTTAAAATGTTACTGTTCAGTTATAGTTATTGTTGACTCGAGCTTTTACATTGTCACTCAGTGCCATGTTAACCCAATGACGCCGGGTGTACAAAAGGAAAAAAAAAACTCTACGCTCTGGCAAACAAAGGCGGCGCGCCGACTTTGAGCGCCGGAGTACGGGGCGTCAGCCCGAATCACTGGCTCGCCGCGCTTTGGCGCGCCGCCGGCTGGTTTGGCCGCACGCCAGCTTTCGAGCGATTTGTTTACACGCGTATCGCCGTCACCCGGCGGCAAGGGGTCTATCCAAAACATACATGAATATCATTGGTGATTAGGAAAACAAAGTTGTGTATTAATGAAGTAAATTTTATTCACTGAAATGGTTGTTGTGATTGTAAGTTTTTGTCCATATTGGCTATTCTCCTCTACACAAAAAAATTTACATGTTAAATGACCCTTGCAGAATTAGGGCTTTCCACCTTCATATTTTTCCTTTTTATTTGCAGTCATCGCCGCCAGTTCTGTGGCCAACATTGTCAAGAGCTCCCTGGGGCCAGTGGGGCTTGACAAAATGATTGTTGATGACGTTGGAGTAAGTATACAGTTGTTTGTGTCTTATTAAACATTTTTATGCACTGGTATTTGTCTTGAGTATCAAGGTTTTTTTCTTTTGATAAAAAAAGTACTTAAATAAAGAAGTGTAATGATAATCATGATAATATTAAGCTTCTATAGGGACCCTTTTATTTAGATATTGTAGGCCTTCAATTGATGTCCTTGCAACTAAGAAGTTTTCTGTAATGTTAGTTGTGCACTAATTGCAATACTTGCTTGCAATACATAATTTCAGTATTATCTCTCATTTCCTTCATGTCTCTCTCTCTTCCACCAGGATGTCACAGTGACCAATGATGGTGCCACAATCCTCAAACTGCTGGAAGTTGAGCATCCAGCTGCCCGTGTCCTGGTTGAGTTGGCTCAGCTGCAGGACGAGGAGGTGGGTCAATTTTATTTATTTGTTTATATTATGATCTTATCTTTATTTTTCCTCCCTCTTGTGGTCTTTTCTTGCTTTCATTTCATCTGAATAACAAAGGTAGTAGCTGATTTTAACCCTTTATTAACTCATTATTTCATAATAGTATTTTGAACTACATGTTCACATTCATTGTGTTTGTCATAAAGGATTAGCTTATTTTAACCCCACTTTATTCAGTATCAGACGGATAAACATTTTCATCTTGTATACAAGTGAAGCACAATAGGCCAAAAAACAGATAGGTAATGGAGAAGTGCATTTTCTGAACCATTAAATTCTTTAGAATAAATTAGCAAAGTGATGCTTAAATTTTACTTCTTCAGGGGGCATATTTAAGTGTAAAATATTAGTAATCTAGGTAATGAAAGAGCACTAACCACTTTAAGTTAACTGTAGGAGAGTTAGACAATATTGGATAGTGATGGTGCCTAAGCTAGCCAGGTTCAAGGCACTGTCCAACACCATTGAAGCTCCCAAATCAGTGAATTCGGAGCTTCTTGATTTTATCCATAATAACTGGGAGTAATTTTTGTAACCCAGTTTTTACCTCTTCATTTATTTTTAAAATGTTACTGTTCAGTTGTAATTATTGTTGACTTGAACTTTTACATTGTCGCTCAGTGCCATGTAAATACAGCCTTCATAAGCAGTATCTTGTCCCATTTCATTTCAGTAATGTTATAATACACAGTATTGTTTATATCTATTTTTTCCTTAGCTTGTCATCAAGATCATGACCCCTCTGTTTTTTATTCCTCGACTCACCAGGTAGGAGACGGCACAACCAGTGTAGTGATCATTGCTGCAGAGCTCCTGAAGTTTGCCGATGAGCTGGTGAAACAGAAGATCCACCCTACATCTATCATCGCAGGCTATAAGCTGGCTTGCAAGTGAGTATGATGAATAGTTTACATAGCATTAGTTATAGATGTGAAAGTGTACATGATAAGATGGGTGGTTATGGATGGCAGCTTTATAATTATTTAATCAGACTTGCTGTATTCTGAATGTTATCACACATTATAGAAAGAAGGAAAAGAAAAGCAAAGTAAAAAATATCCAATAATAATAGTGATAATGATGTTAACCCATTGCCGACGGGCATGCCATGCCATGCCCACTGTGAGATTACTTGTTTGATTGTTGTTACACATAGATGGCTACACTTGTACTAAATCACCAATGAGCCAGTTACGAGTACTGCCTGTTTCGCCCATTCGCCCTTTTCTATGATTTACGAAATATCTTACGTTATCTTATTTTGCTGTTACTAATGTTAAAAACATTATAAAAATTATAATGATTGTAATGAAAATAACACCATCAATATTCATGGTACTAGTGAAAAAAATACGTTTTTTCCGCCATTTCAAATCAGGCACTAACAGAGCCATCTATGGGCAGACATTTCACAAAAAATATAGAAAATAGGCACAGCATTTCCCCCATTTTTTGTTCATTTTCCCTGGCAGCAGTGGGTTAATGATAGTAATAATGAAAATAAAAAACAAACTTTGAAAGGCGGAGTAGTATGATGATGATGAGTATTCATTGTTATTGAAGAGGAGATTGTATGGTAATTATAGATATACTATTTTAGAATGAAATTAGTGTTGCAAGTGATCCTCTCCTGCATGTGGAGTGAATCCTGGGTTGCATATAGTTGGTTCTGTGAATATACATGATGTATATGATGAAGGGCTTAATTATTGCTACCCTACCAATAATGTTTCACTCCAAATCATGTCTTGTCTTAATGTTTTTTTTCTTTTTCTTTTTTCCCCATTGTGGAAAGAAAATGTGTTTGTCTGCAGAGAGTGAGTTGCCAATAAGCAATTTCTCCCATGTGAACCTATTTACACCTAACTATTGCTAGGCATCTAGGCTGGAGAAAAAGGTTCTAGATACCCTTAACTAAATAGTATAAAATCCTATTTAAAATTTTTTACATGCAGCAGGGATAAACTAAACTCGTTGCAATTGGAAATGGTATGTGATTACGTTGCATACAAAGTTGAGAAATATGAGTCAAGGGTATTTTGGATTAGTATGGAATAGAACAAGATTGTCTAATTAACCTCATAATTGCTTTTTCCCATGGTCAAGGTGGACCATGAGCCAGAGGCAATGTATGCATGTGCACAATGTGCATTTTCCCCATAGTCTGTGATTATGGGTATGGCATGAGTTTAGTTAAAAGCTAGAGGGAGAGTTTTAACATACTTTGGAATAATAAGTGAACTATTGTTTAGCACATATAACATATACAAGCTTAACATGTGTGGGATGGATATTTGCAACCTGGTAAATGAGCCCAGTGTTTCATGGCAAGAAAAGTGGCAACCAGGCATAAATGATTACAGGATACAGGAGATAAGAATTGTAGGGATGAGAAGTAATGTAATAATACCTAATTTAACGATTTATCAGCACTGTCATTCGTTGTTATTATTATTGTTATATTAGCATTATAATTGCATGTTCAATTAACCCAGGCCACACCTATAGCTGTCATAACAAACTGACTCAACGTTCCGGGTATGACTGTGTGTTGCGACATGCTAGAGCATGTATAGCAGAAAGTTCTGCTACGTAAACTGGACTCCGGGGCCAAACGGCAGGATGGTTGCCAGAAGCCTCCGGAGTCAATGACAGAGATTTCTGATTCCGTCATTGAGGGATTAAGATGTACTTTTATTAATCATTGATTATTTCTCTTTTAGGGAGGCTTGCCGCTACATCCAGAACAACCTTACCATAAACACAGATGAAATTGGTCGTGATTGCATTGTTGCTGCTGCCAGAACATCTATGTCCTCTAAGGTGTGTTGTTGAAAATTGTATTAACTTGTTTATATATAGTTTAATAAAATGCAAAGAAACATAGTCTGAAATAGGAACTGCAGATTTTAATGTATTTTTTTGGCTATGTCTAAATATATGATACACACATACACACACACACATGTATTTGAATATATATATTTATTTATTTATTTATTTGAATAGATAGGTTAATAGGACCTTACTTTTTTTATTGATCTTGCAACTTCCCCTCATCTCACTTATCATTGCCAATCTTTGCAACTGCTCCATCATTCACTCCAACACTCCACTCTGGCTCTCAACTGCCTGCAACTCATATTTGTTTTTTTGGCTATGTCTAAATATATGATACACACATACACACACATGTATTTAAATATATATATTTATTTATTTATTTATTTGAATAGATAGGTTAATAGGACCTTACTTTTTTTATTTATCTTGCAACTTCCCCTCATCTCACTTATCATTGCCCATCTTTGCAACTGCTCCATCATTCACTCCAACACTCCACTCTGGCTCTCAACTGCCTGCAACTCATATCTAACCTCTGGCACACAGGTGATCTCCATCGACAGTGACTTCTTCGCTAACATGGTGGTTGACGCAGCCATGGCAGTGCGCACAGCCGATGGCAAGGGTGGCCATAAGTACCCCATCAAGGCCATCAATGTCCTCAAAGCTCACGGCCGCTCGGCAAGGGAGTCTGTCATTATCAACGGCTATGCGCTCAATTGCACCATCGCATCACATGGTAAGTATGCTTGTCGGGGAAGTGGTGGGGGGAAAAGGATTTAGAAATGTGATAGATTTCATTAAAGTCTTAGTTAAAACCTGTAAAGTGGTCCAGAAAGCTATGTAAAATGTGTGTCTTTTACCGGTGAATGCTGGTTAGTTTGGTTTCTTAATGTGTGTATGTACAGGAGTTTAACCCATTCACGCCGGGTGTCACGTATACGTGACGGGCCCACTGTGAGTTTACTTGTTTAATTGTTTTCACACATAGATGGCTACACTTGTACTTGTACTGCCTGTGTCGTCTGTTTACCCTTTTCTTTAATTTACGAAAATATCTTACGTTATCTTATTTTGCTGTTACTAATGTTTATAACATTATAGTAATTATAATGCTTATAATAAAAATAACCATTGATATTCATAGCACTAGTAAAAATGCATTTTCCCGCCAAATGAAATCAGGTAAGGCAGAGCCATCTAGTGTAGAGATATTTCATTAAAAAATATAAAGAATGAGTACAGCATTTTCCCCATTTTTTTGTTCATTTTTACCCGGCGCGAATGGTTTAGAGCAGGGAAATTTGATTTTGTGCTTTTATGTCCCATTTGTGCATGTTTTTTGTGTCTTTCTATTATTAAAGAATTTCCTATATTTACTTTTACATTGAAAGCACTTTCTTTCTTTCCCCTCAGCCATGAAGAAAAAGATCACAGGAGCCAAGGTTGCCTGCCTCGACTTCTCCCTCCAGAAGGAAAAACTCAAGCTCGGCATCCAGGTTCTCGTCAACGACCCTGCCAAGCTTGAATCCATCAGACAGAGAGAGTCAGACATCACAAAGGTTAGAAGAAGGGACTGTGTTTGTGAAAGGGGGGGAGGGGGGATTTTGATCTAATCATCTGCAAATCATTTTGCTATAATGTAAGGCTTGATGTCAGGGTCACCCACTCGAAAGAAGATTTTACAAGCTCAAGGACAGTGTTTTTTTCTCCTTGTCTTATGATTTGGAACCAGTAGCTTTTGGCCTGTCTATATTTTACACATTTTTTTTATTTCCTCTTTTCACAAACCACCTAATTCCATACCTGCAGGAGAGAATTGAGAAGATCCTGAAGACTGGTGCCAATGTCATTCTCACAACCGGCGGCATTGATGACCTTTGCCTCAAGTACTTCGTGGAAGCCGGTGCCATGGCTGTCAGGCGGTGCAAGAAGTCAGATCTCAAGGTAAGCCATGAGTGATATAGGCCATCCTCTTCTCTCTCACATTATGCTCGATTGCACTGTCTGGATCCTATCACAGAGTAGTAGAAGAGTAGTGATAAAGAAGTGATGAAGGGAGTGAGAGGGAATAGTTCTTTGGGGCTGGAAGAAAACGGAAAGTACCAGATATGCATAATTGCATTTACTGCCAATTATGTTTGGTTGCACTCTTCGTCCCATCAAGAAGCAATAGAAGTGACCGCATTCTAGGTTTTAAGAGCTGGTGCTCTGTCAAGGCAACTCGGATGCAAGGAGAAACTAGATCATGCACAGCTCATCCTATGGCTCGTTGGGGTTAAGAACAAGCATAATTTTAGTTGGTTTCAATTTCCTTTTCTCATATGATTGAGAATCAAAGTAGTTTATTATTAAGGACATGCATATTTGATACCATTACTGAATAATCACAAATATCCTTTTATCTCCAAAACCCCAGAGAATAGCCAAAGCAACTGGAGCCACTTTCCTCACTACCCTGTGCAACCTGGAAGGAGAGGAGACTTTCGACCCCACCTACCTTGGCGAGGCCGCAGAGGTCTCCCAGGAGCGTATCTGCGACGATGAGCTCATCCTTATCAAGGGGTAAGGGAAGATAGTGTTTGTTTGTTGAACCAGGTGTCTATGTACTTGTATGTACTTGGAAGTAAAATTCTTAACACAGGTTCAGTGCAATTTTGGTGATAAATATGTATTGTAGTTTTGAGTTACATTGATGTAGAAATAGATTTGAAGGTAAATGAAGAAGGGTACATGTGGATTTTAATAGAGCAACATTATTATAATAAACATCAAATCACAGATGTGTTACCAGAGTTTCAAAGCTTAGTTGAAGTAAATTTTAGTTTGTAAAATGCTTTGAATGATTTTTATTAATCAAATTTTCCCACATGGCAAGAATACATACCACACCTACTTGAATAGTAATTTATTAATTGTCTTTATAAATAGTTGGCTTTACCTATGCTTAGTTGCAAAAGAGTTGATTATTAGTCATACTTATCTTACATGTTTACCCTTTTCCTTGATTTATGGAAAGCTGTCTATGTATTATTTTACTGATGATAATATATTATTATATCAATAATGATAATAGCAGCAAAAATTTAGTATTTGAAAGAAGAGCACATTTTCCTGTAAATTGAAGAAATAGGAAAATCAGGCACAGTTACCAGGACCTAATAATTGACTCTTTGGTGGCTGTAATGCCATCTGCATGCAGCAAGATTCTTACAAAAAACTAGAGTGAACCATACATAAACCCTCCATGATTGGGTTAAACCATGTGTATCAGAAGCATAAGCTTAAATTCACAGGTCTCTTAACGACATAAAATCGCATAGACAATCCAACCACATTTCAAAGTATTCTATAAAAAAAAAACAAAAAAAAAAACACATACAGGCAATGCACGTACATCTGACAGTTCTCCAAAACAGTGCAGGTTTTTCACATACTTCTGTTTATTTCCCTACAGGCCATCTGCCCGATCTGCCAGCTCCCTCATCCTCCGCGGTCCCAATGACTTCTACTGTGACGAGATGGAGCGCTCCATTCACGACGCCCTGTGTGTGGTCAAGAGGGTCCTGGAGAGCAGCTCAATTGTGTGTGGAGGTGGTGCTGTTGAGGCTGCTTTGTCTGTTTACCTTGAAAGCTTTGCCACAAGTTTGGTAAGTACAAGATCATCATCTGCTGCCATTGCATCATCATGAGATTATTTCATACATTATTGTGGTGGTATATCGGAGTCCCTTTTATTTACTTTACCCTTGTCCCTTTTTCTGTTCACTGTTCATCTCTCTGTCCTTTCTCCTTTTCCCCTCACACCCTCATACCCTTTCTCTTTCTTTTTTCTTCCACTTCTCAAATCCTTTGTCTTTCCTCTCCTCTTACTTTTTCTTTCTGCCACGTCGTCCTTCCTTACATACTCATTTCCTTGTCCATGATCAAATATTGATTTGTTAACAATTATGTACTGTCATGTACCTTACTTCTTCCAGTCCCTTACTCATCCCTTTATACCCTGTCTTCTTTTCCTTCCCTTGATAGCTTTCATCTTTCCTTGTCTCTTGATCTAACTCTTGTTCATCCCAACTTCCTTTTCATCCCCCTTTCCACAACCCTTTCTCATCATTTCTTCTACTTTGCCTGTCTATTTTACCCCATGTTCTTTTTATCCCTTTTCCCAATTTCCTAATCCCGTCACTCATCTCTTTCTTCTTCTGCAGAGCTCCCGGGAACAGCTGGCTATTGGAGCCTTCGCACAGTCCCTCCTCGTCATCCCCAACACCCTGAGTGTGAATGCTGCCAAGGATGCCACAGATCTGGTGCCCAAGCTGCGCGCTTACCATCACTCGTCACAGGTCAAGACAGAGCACTCACAGCTCAAGAACTATGGCTTGGATCTCCTTGAAGGTGAGAGAGGGAGAGAGTTGGTTTAAAAATTATTTTGGCTTTTGCTCAATTTTATTTAGGTCTCAGGCTTAAAAGTAAAAAATAAAATGACAGTTTGGATTCTAAATCCTCGTCCATTTTTCTCCAAATAGCAAAAAGCAAAGTAGATGCTAAGAAGTGAAACTCCCCCCCCCCCCCCCCCAGTCACACTTACCATTCACACTTTATAATTTCCTGTTTCACAATCTCCCATTTAAAAGATCTATCATCTTGCCCACCAGGCCAGGTCCGTGATAACAAGAAAGCTGGTGTGTTTGAGCCTGCACTGAGCAAACTGAAGCAGCTCAAGTTCGCCACGGAAGCTGCCATCACCATCCTCCGTATCGACGACATGATCAAACTGGAGCCCGAGCCGACCCAGGAGAGCGGCTACCAGAGGGCGCTACAGTCCGGACAGCTTGGTTAGATGTTAAGACTGTCTGGTTTGGTTGGGCGTTTGGTGGTAGTGAGGCGTCAAGGAGATGGAGGAAGAGGAAGGAGGACGAAAACGTTTCTCAGAAGAGGATGGACTGACAATAGCTCCCTGAAGCCGATGGAGAATAAGAGGGTTCTTGAAGCTGCCCGAGAGGAAGTCCGTTTTAGGAGAGTTTACGAAGAAAGGCATCGCAAAGTGTTTGCTGTGCTTTTCATATCTCTTTCTTTCTCTTCTCCGCTCTTGTCTCTCTCTCTCTCTCTCATTCTCACACACATTACAGCAGTTTCTTCGAGGCTGCGAACTTTTGCATTTTTTTTTTTTACTGACTTTGCCGGAATTTGGTGATTGGTGCAAGTCTTCACCATCTTAAAAGAAAATTATTGGAAATTAGATTAATGCCTAAAGCTAACACTGCTTTTTTTCACAATTTAAAAGGACTGATGTGAAA